GACGTGCAGATCTGCCCTCGCAGAGGAGGGAGAGCTTGTACCTGAATAAAACTTGGTCTTAAAGGTGCCACTGGACTGTTTTGGATTGCTAGCTATGGGGGGGGGACGTGCAGATCTGTCCTCACAGAGGAGGGAGAGCTTGTAACTGAATAAAACGGTCTTAAAGGTGCCACTGGACTATTTTGGGCCGGTGGGCCGGGGGGGGGGGAGGGCTCTGCAACTTACCCGGCTGCTTTCTTGCTCTGACTGAGGGCTGCTGGGAGCAGGGGGGCGGGGCTTGTTGCATGTGCCCGCCACCTGGGCTCTTTACTGCCGGAGCTCCGCTCCTGTGCACTCTCGCAGGAAATGACCCCTGCATGGAGGACTGGGCTGTTGGGGACTGTTAGATGGGAAATGCAGAATGGCAGCCTTCACGTTCTAAGACTGTTTATTGGAGTGCTTGGACTGCACACCAGGAAGGGATGTGACTGACATCCTGAACGGAGGTCTGCTCTTCTTCAGAGAGAGAACTTCAAAAGTAATTGACCTGAGCTGACCTTGTGATTGCTCTTAAGGGCTTCTGTCTTGTGGGTGGGGCAGGGGGAGGTTCTCGGGAAACACGGCCCCGAGTGTCACCTGCGATTCTGAGAAAAGGGGGGAAGGGGGGAAGAGCCCGGATCCCTCGCCTCCGTCCCTCACCCTCTCCTGCAGCAGCCGTTCCCTCTCCGCCATGGCTTCCCGCACCTTCCGCTCCATCTCGGCCAGCGTGGTGACGCAATTCCCCAGGCTGCAGAGAGAGAGAGAGAGAGAGGGAGAGAGAGAGAGAGAGAGAGAGAGAGAGAGGCATCTGGTTAGCATCAGGACTGGCGGGAAATTCTGGGGATCCGGAAGGGGGAGGAGGCACCCGGGAACCAAAACAGACACCGTGCGGGAGATTCTCCGCCATTTAATTTCCAAACTTGAAAGGGGGGGGGGGAGCAGCTGCGGCACCCTCCGACTTTGATCAGAGCACTGGGGGAGGAGGTGTCCAGCCCTTCATCCCACGCTCATTTTGCCCCGGTCTAAACCCCCTCCCCGGTTTCTGTTAGTCAAAACTATTCCAGTTCCAGGAATAGCAGCTTAGGGTAGAAGCAATGTAGACTGAGGAAACGGCACCAGCACCAAGATCCTTAGTGGTGTTGCTCCATAGCCATATTTATACCCTGCTTCTGTCCCCAACAGGGAACTAAAGAGGCTTACAGTATCATCCTCCCCTCCTCCAGTTTATCTTCACAACAACCCTACGAGGTAGGTTAGGCTTAGGGTTGCCAGAAATGTTCCCTCTAAGCTGTGGAGTCCTGTGAGCAAAAATTCTACTTTGTGAGCTACTGGCATTAAAGTTGTGAACATGTAGTTTGGCTACTGCATAAATTAGTTTGCTCTGGA